TTTTTTTTTTCTTTTTCATTTGTGTTATATGTTTGATAATGCTGTGAAATAATAAAAAAAAATGTCTGTCAGCATACCTGTCACCACAGGCTAGATTTTGGCTGCAATTAACCTATCAAAAGGGAAAGGAATACTTGGTAGCATTTATATATCACAAAACTCCCACATTGACAGTTTGGTTATTATACTACAGTAGAAGTTTTTTTTAAAATCTGAAACAAGAACAGAAATTACCGGAGAAACTCAGCAGGTCTGGCAGCATCCATGGTAAGAAAGCACAGTTAACATTTTGAGTCCAGTGATTTGGTTTGATTTTATTATTGTCACGTACTGAGATACAGTGAAAAGTACTGTTTCCCATGCTATCCAGGCAAATCCTACCATTCATCAGTACATTAAGGTAATAGAGCAGAATGCAGAATATAGTGTTACAGCTGCAGAGAAAGGTTTGATTCCGGCCTTGGGTGACTGTCTGTATGGAGCTTGCCCAATCTCCCCGTGTCTGCGCGGGTTTCCTCCGGGTGCTCCGGATCTGTCCCACAGTCCAAAGATGTGCAAGTTTGGTAGATTAGCCGTGCTGGATTGCCCATGGTGTCCCGCAATGGATAGGTTAGGTGGATTAGCCATGGGAAATGCAAGGTTGCCGGGATAGGGTTGGAGGGTAGGTGTGGGTGGGATGCTCTTCGGAGAGCGGGTGTGGATTTGATGGGCTAAATGGCCTGCTTCCACCCTGTAGGGATTCAGTGATTCTAGGTCTGTTCAAAAGTCTGAGAACAGCAGGGAAGAAACTTCTCCAATCTGTGTTGTTTTGTGTTTTCAAACTTCTGTATCTTCTGCCCAATGAAAGAGGGTGGGAGAGATTACAGCCAGGATGGGAGGAGTCTGATTATGTTTGCTGCTTTCTGGGGGCAGCAGGAAGTATAGATGGAGTCAGTGGATGGAAGGCTGGTTTGTGTAATGGACTGGGCTGTGTTCACAACTGTCTGTAATTTCTTGAGGTCTTGGGCTGAGCATTTGCAGTATCAAGCTGTGATGCATCCAGATAGGATGCTTTCTGTGGTGCATTTATGAAAATTAGTAAGAGTCATTATGGACATGCAGAATTTCATTACCCTCCTGAAGGAGTAGGGACTGGTGTGTTTTTTTTAAAACTGGAGCATCGACGTGGATAGACCAGGACAGATTGGTGATGTTTACTCCTAGGAACCTGAAGCTCTCAACCGTCTCTGCCTCAGCACCATTGATACAGACAGAGGCGTGTCCCCCACTCCACTTCCTGAAGTTGATGACCAGCTCCTTCATTTTGCTGACTTTGAGAGACTGTCTTTACACCATGCCACTGAGCCCTCTGTCTCTTTCTTGTACTATGTCTCGTTGTTGTTTAAGATTCGACCCACTACGGTGGTGTTTTCAACAAACCTGTTGATGGAGTTGGAGCGGAATTTAGCCACAGTCATGAGTGTATAATGAGTATAGTAAGGGCTGAGTACGCATTCTTGTGGGACGCTGGTGTTGAGGATTGTCGTGGAGGAGGTTTTGTTGCCCATCCTTACTGATTACGGGCTGTGGGTCAGGAGGTCAAGGATCCAGTTGCAGTAATGGATTCAGAGTCCTAGGTCTTGGAGTTTGGAGATGAGTTTTGTTGGAATTATGGTGTTGAAGACAGAGCTAAAGTCAATAATTAGAGGTCTGACATAGGTACCCTTGTTATCCTCATAACCCAGGGATGAGTGTAGGGCTACGGAGATGGCATCAGCCATAGACCTTTAGCAACAGTAGGCACATTAAGGTGGATCAAGGCAATCTAGGAGGCTGCAGTTGATGTATGCTATAATTAGCCTCTTGAAGCACTTTGTAATGATTGATGTCAGAGCTCATCAGGGAGGGATGCATTGTTGCCAGCGATTGTACTCCACTTTGCTTTGTAGCCCATTCTTCAGTGACCCTTCTTCAGAACACTTGACCCTCGTGAAGGCTTTAATTTCTGTGTCTCATTGTTAGATTGCTCCGGCAACCTCGTTGACTGAGACCAACTCTAGTTAAAGCAAAAGATGCAGTAACTCTTAACCAACTGAGAAACAAATCCAGAGTTGAGATTGCAGTTTGTTCGCCAGTCATGTTGTGGTCGTTTTTTTTTAATACAAACTAAATAGCTGTAGAAGAGGAGCACTACAGCGCCACGTACTGGGGTAGCCTCGATATACCTTGTGACAGACAGTCATTGTTCACATTAAAATGTTTACAACTTTTATCAGTGCTTTATAATGATTAAACATCTTAAATATTGATGTATGAGTTGCTACATGAACTGAGAGACAAAACAATCTGTGGCAAGAGATGTACACCATTTGTAATTCTTTATATCTGATGAGTCAGTTTCACTCGGAGTTAACCATTCGGCAAAGATCAGGAGTACTGTACCAATAAGCTGTTCAGCCTATTGAGGCTCCCCAACACCTTTTGGCTGTTTGGACTGATGATCTTGTTGTTATTTGGCTGTTCATTCATCCTGTGGTCATGAGGTCTACTTTGTTCAGTGAAAATGATAGGGAGTCTTAAGAGTCACAATGAGAATTCTGAGATAACACAGTGTGGAGCTGGAGGAACACAGCAGGCCAGGCAGCATCAGATCCCAACCCGGGAAACCAATTTTTATATTGGTTTGGAACAGTGAGTTGAAATTAAGAATTGAACTTTGAACGCACCTTCCTTGCTGGTCTAAGGACACTGTAAATGACTGGCACTGATCAGTTGCAATGTAGCTGGTTGGCAGCTGATTGGATGTTGCATTGGTAAATCGAGGGAGGACTAATGCTAACCAGCCAACCACAGAAGCAAAAGAGAGCGAACCGATTCTGACTGGGTTTGACAGGTGATAGTGCAATGCCTGGAGACTGCTTCTTCAGTTTTTGCTCGCTCTAGCTGTATCTAGTTTCTGTCCAGTAATTGAATTGTTGAATGTTCCGAGGAAAGAATCCCAGTCTGTAAGAAATAAATAAATATTTCTAAAAGTCTGCTGAAACTGTTTGCATTAACCGGCGACTTCAGAAATTAAGCAAGATATACAACTCCACTTGTATGTGAGCAATCCATTGTCCACTGATTTCAGATGCCTGATATTCTGTGTAAATTGATTGTGATTAGGCAGCATATCTAAAACTTGCGTGCCTCCGTTAGTGCATCACTCTGATGCTACACAGGCAGTAGAGTTTTCAGCAACTCTTTTTATGAAGTGGAATTGCTCCCTATATCTTCTTTAAATGTACTCTTCAAAATCCATTACTTGGACCAAGCTCAGCATTCCTAATATCGCTCTTAGCTCAAGATTAAAAAATATTTTTCTATATTGTCAGTGGAGGTTCTTTTAATTTACTGTTCGTAACCCAGTGTTTTAGACTTGTGTCAGATTATGGAGGAGCAATAACTACTTGCAAGAGGATCAGCTTTAAATTTGAAAATACAGGGGGTTCTGCTATAACGCAATAGTTGCGTTCCAGTGCAATATCGTGTTGTAGAAAATCACGCTATAGAAATAAGGGGGTCTATGGGAAAAGTGGGGTTAGGGGCAGATGACCAAAACAATCACTCAAAATCGCTCAAAAATTACTCAAAGGCCTAACACAAAGTTTGAATAAATGTTTAATTCATATCTAATAATGAAATAAAGGTAAATTTTACACCTCACCTTGAAAAAATGTCAAGATGACTTGATGGCAGTGGAGGATTTGAGCTTGCTCTGTTGTTAATGCAGGGGCTGAGGGTTGTTATCCTCACCATCCCCCTCGGGTACAATTGTGATTGTAGGGTTAATGTGAAAAATAGTTAATCCTGAAGTGGATGGCTGTGGTTCATTGTCCTCTGTTTCTTGGGGGTAGGCTTCAAAATGTTTTTGCTGCTTTGCCCTTTTTCTTCTTTCATGAAGAAGCTGTTCATAGGGTGCTAAATAAGATCTTATTCCACAAACTGCTACCCTGCTGCATTCTGCGTTGTAATTGTTATCCTTTAAGAGCTGTAACTGCTTCTCCATTTCCCTCAGGATGGAGGACAAAACAGAAATGGAAAGTTCTGGTGGTGCTGCATCCTGGACTTCACCTTCATCCCCAGCTTCCACTTCCTCCGTGACAAGTTGTTGTAGATCAGCTTTGCAAGATCAATACAATGTTCTTTGATTTTTGGCAGCTCCTCTGACTGATCAAAGGTTGTAAAACCTTTAAAGAATCTGGGAGAAGCTTCTGCCAAACTGCACGCAAGCAGTCCTTACTGACATCACCTCAGGCCTCCATGATCATGTCAATTGCATTCATGATGTTAAAGCTCTTCCAAAGTTGGAGAATACTGTCCTTACCCCCCTCAATCCCCCTGCAATCAGCCTCTTAAATGTGCGCCTTAAATAATAAGCTTTAAAAGCTGCTATTGCACCCTGGTCCGTGGGTAGAAGG